TGAAAATTTTAAGAGAGAAAAATCCAAAAATAAATTCTCACATGACATAAGAAGAGCATTTGGAATAGCAGGTCAATATTAATGTACAATCTATACCAACAATAACAATAGCACCAATTACAACAATAACCAGAATATAGGTAACAACATCAACAACAATAACAATATCAACAATAACAATAACAACAATAGCAACAATTACAACTACAATAACCAGAATAGGTAATAACATTAACAATAATAACAGCAACAACAACAATTACAACTTCATTTAAAAACTCCTAATTAAAAAAAAAACACATACAACACATACACAACAACAACCACAACAAAATATGATGGCTCAATATAAGATCAAGATCATTGACATTTATGCAAATAACCTAATGCCTAATATTACACTACTATGCCTGACCTCTGCTTCAGTTATCTAGGCTAACCAGCTGTTAATTGATCCTTTCAGTAAGAGAAATTGGTGATATTTTATCTGGTGAAAATACATATGATGATGATGATGATAAAAAGGAGACGTTTCTTCAGTTGCACACGTAAGTCTCAGCAGTATTCAAAGAGCTGATCTTGCATGATGACTTTGTACAATGAAGTCAGCATGTTTGCCTAATTGAAATATTTTATTTGATGATGCAGTTGTACTTGTCTTTTGATTGTTAAAATGCGCTCTATTAAGTAAATAAATTATTATTCATTTAATAAGCTTGATAGCAAATTTGGCAATCAATCATTTCTACTTTGGTAAACCTCCTTGAAGGACTTTTGACCCTCCTCTATATCCCTCGCCAATCCCTGCTAAGTTGTAACAAGTCCCTGAGAAAGTGTTTTCCCTTTCAGTATGAACGCTGAGCAGTCCTTTGATTCATTCATAAAGAGAACAATACAACTCGGACAGACGGACAAACAACATGGCGAAGGAATATGGGTGGGCATCAAACTAATGGATGGAGATGTTGAGCAGGTACTGTATAATGCTACAAAAGTTTGAGGTCATTACATTCATTAGTTTATGAGATATTAGCGTTCAAAGATGCTGAGTGGCAAAAACGCTACTAGTAATTAGCTCATATAATCTCTCTAAAAATTGGAGTTTTTTAAACCTTTTGGTACAAAAAGTATTCCATATGGGAAGATCAAAATTACGAGGAAAGTCTAGCTTGTCAAGTAAAATGTTTGAGCTAGTGTCGTAAGTGGATTTAGTAATAACGCCTTGCTATCCAATTTCGAAGTTTTTGCAGTTTGTCACTTAGCCGCTGACTCAGCCTGTCCCAAACAGGACTCATAGTAGAATCCACTTGTCAATCTCATAATTTTGATTTTAAGATTACAGAAGAGCATCCAACCCTGATGAATAAACATACTGCGATAGCAAGGAAACAAGGCTTTCCCGAAGTCATCATGCCAGGTATAAATAAGTCTTTTTCCAGGTAATGCTGCTATTTGATGGTTTTTTTTACGTGATGCATATAATATTACTACTGACCTAAGTGTTGACATACCATCCATGGTTCACACCGACTGATTTCACACATAGAGGATATTACATGGGCGCACGGAGATACGGATTNTCATATAATTAAATATGAAAGCAAATTATGTTGTAAAAATACCTTTTTTCTTTCTTCCAATATATAGAGAAACCTCGAATGTGTTATTTTTCACTAGTGAAAATATCAATTTTACGTAATGGAGAAATCCAAACGTACAAATTGTAAACTTAAGGAATTGAAAAGGTCTATTCTGGGACGAAACTAGTTTTCCTTAAAATAAAGTTTCTTGGCGTGACTGTGTGTTAAAGACTTCACGTATTGGGTTTAATCCTGTTCAGCATTATGAGATATATAGGTATTTCATAGATAATTATATGATAAATATATATCTCCCACTCCTATTTCCAAGAGTGTCACCTTGTCATAACATCACGCTTGCATTCATTACATATCGTTAGAAAATACATTTGCTTGTAGGTGACTACCGTAATGATCTCTATATCACAATACTACAAGGRGAATTTGAAAAAGGTAGGCTTGACTGGTTCACTGTGAAATGCATGAATGACTTGACCTAATTTATTATGACATCACAATGTTTACAACTAAAAAAAAAGAAAAAAAAAGAAAAAAATGCTCAAAACGGGAGGGAGGGGGTACTCCCCCCAACTTGGGTGGGTGGGTGCCGCTGGGATCTCAAAACCCTGACCCTGTTCTAGAGTGAAATCGCTGAGATCGATACCCTGTTCCAGAGTAAATATAGCCTGCAACTGTGTGTGTAGACCGAAATTTTATTCCGTGAATTTTTACACAGCATCGATAATTCCGGAACTAAACCCTGACCCTGTTCCAGAGAAAAATCGCTAAAACTGATGCCCTGTTCCAGAGTAAACTTGCTGAAAACGATTCCCTGGTTGACGGCACGTACCCGTATAGGGAATATAGGGGAGTACCCCCCGGGGCTCAAAAACAGTGGAAATTTGCACCCATTCATATTCTCTCCAAAATGAAACTTCAGTGTATTGTGTTTTGATAAACATTATGTATCAAAGAAATTCTCATGTACATTGTATTTGATATGCAGTAATCTTATAAAATAAAATAGARTGTTGAATCAATGGTCAAATTAAATATCATCTGAATGATTGAGTATTGAAAGGGACAACAATACAGCGAAATGGAGGGGATTTTTCAATGGAAATGATAAATATTAAACAATTCCTTTTAGGAGGAAAAAGTGCAAATAAAAATATTGAAGTTACAATGAATGTTCTACAAGACGATGGCACTATCATAGAGGTAAGTTATTCAATATTGATATGTCAATCAATCAATGTATCATCAATTTAACATAAGGAAGCCATCTTTGTTTGATAAATTTTGTGTATGATTCTCTTAGAATGCAATCAACTATGGYACTGGAGAAGAATCTATCAATGAATACCATTCCTATGTTTTCTATCATCAACCAAGACCAGAATGGAATGAAACAATTAAGGTGAGCTTAACTTGGATCTTGGATGCCCAGTGGCTCTAATTCGCCTAAAAAATCGGCGCAAAAATCGTCAGTTTCAATGGGCTTCATACATGTAAGCAATTGCTTGCTTCAGTCCAAAGGCATGGCTCTTTTTTTAAAATGGTGCTGGGAATTGTAAAATGGAGGGAACTAGCGGTAAACTAGTGTGAGCTGCGTCGATGTTTCTAAAGAAATAGTTATGTAAAAAGATAAATTTAACACCGTAAAAAAGTATGTGAAATAACTTACTGACGTTTCGGACGTTAATCCTTCTCTTTTACTCCGACGAAGGATTAACGTCCGAAACTTAACGTCAGTAAGTTATTTCACATACTTTTTTGCGGTGTTAAATTTATCTTTTTACATAATTGTAAAATGGAGACGTATTATAAAGTTAAGAGAGACACATGTTGGTTTAATCAAAGAAAAAGGGTGTTCACCATTGATCACTCGAACGTTGTGTCTTTCCTTTACGTTAATGTTGTTTGTCAACAGGTTGTCGTCCCCATCGATTTGTACGACAAGGCACATTTAAGGTTCACGTTCAGGCACAGATCATCTGTTGAAGGTAAGACACGAAACTTGTTGACAAAGTACCAGAATTTTTTTTAAACCTGAAATAATCGTATTTACAAATATTACTAGGTAGTTTTACTTAATATCCAGAGGTTCAAAATGAACTAAGATGTGGAATAGTCTCCTTCACGGTTCCGCGCGCCATCTTGAAAGTTAGCCGTGCCTTTACATCGAAGCGAGACAACCGTTGAGCGTGCAATGATAGATACCTKTGAATAACTTTCTGTAGGTGTGAAAGAAGGTATCTATCATTGCACGCTCAACTGTCGTCTCCATTCGATGCAAAGATGGTGATGGGAACCGTGAAGAAGACTATTTCGTTAACAACTATCTTTCTTCCTTGGTTACAGATCGAGACCGAACCCAGAAGATTTTTGCCTTTGCTTTTATGAGGCTGATGAATCGTGATGGTACAACATTGACTGAYGGCTTGCATGAGCTCATAGTTTATAAAGTATGGTTTATTGTGCAAATTTATCTTTAGATTTTTTCCGATATTCACCAGAACATTGTCTTACAAACGGCTTAAAGTTCATGCCTTTTTGGAATACAGGCTTAGACCTCAAATTGGAAGAAAGTGCTGAAACTTGTCGTCATGCCAGCATTTGTATGCGCTCAGCTCTATTAGTGTTTTTGGCAAGAGAGTATGCCATGAAATAAACCAGCAGTCACTTTTGTTGAACAGGAAAAAGTAGTTTTGATACAGTGTCCATAAATGATAATCATCTTCTTCATCATCATCATCATCATTATCACCATCATCATCATCATTATCACCATCATCATCATCATTGACACCATCATCATCATCATTGACATCATCATCATCATCATCATCGTCATTAATCCAAAGTGCACAATTGTTTCAATCAAAAATTGTTAAAATCAAACACTTCAGAAAGTATTGATAAAAGTATTGATATAACAACTGTTTTGTTTCAGTGTGATTTAAAAAAAGTAGAACCGTCATCATACCTAAAACTGGCATCCTTAAGAGTCGAGCAGTCTGTCATGACACCGCCTTCCAAGGGATTGGTGCAATACTCCAGTGACAAGTTCACAATAAAGTGTCTTCTTTGTTCAACGAAACTCACCCAAAACCGTAAGTCCTTATCTATTCAGTGTAAAAACCATGGCCTGTTTTTTATGCCATGTCCTTGCCGTGGTAAGTGCTTTTTTTTAAGTGCTTTTTTTGGCTGTACTTAAAAGTACAGCCAAACAAAATGTTCTCAATATATTGTACTACATTGAATAGCACTGACATTTTTACAACATTTAAAGTAAACCAGATAGTTATTTAAGAAAACAGACAGGGCAGCTTGCGTCGCGCGGTCCTGAGGGGACTGGGTAGGGATGCTTAAATAGTGAGGATACTGGTTTAGCCAGTTAAACTTGTTTTACCTGTTTTTAGTTGATCTTCTTGGTTTACTGAAGTGGAAACAAATGCAAGGAATGTTAAGAGAAATTTTAGTTACCGTGATGAATGTTAGTGGTGCAGAAATCGTTAAGGTTAGTAATGCCACAGTCTTTTGTCTAGTTTTTGCAGTTCCCGTAACTTTCTGAAAGGCCGGTGAGCTTAAAATGCTAGATGCATTGTGCAGGTGTGTTTAAGGTGTCTATCCTTGTAAGCTCTTTACTCCGACGAAGGATTAACATCCGAAACGTCAGTAAGTTATTTCCCATACTTTTTTACCTCTTTACTCCGACGAAGAATTAACATCCGAAACGTCAGTAAGTTATTTCCCATACTTTTTTACGGTGTTAAACTTTTATCTTTTTTACACAACTGTATCCTTGTAAGCTCAGCTGTTTTCGACCTTCGATACAAAGACAAGGCCGCGTAGCCTTACTGCTGGGAAATCTAAGAAGACGTACTGAGACATGGACACCTTTTTGTTACTTTACATTTTCTCGGCTGATTTCCACCTTATAAAAAATGTGTAAAAGGAGAGAACAAGAATGGGACACATTTGTCTCTCATCCTTTTTCAYTTGTAATCCCAGTTCCCGGAGGACAAATATTTTTTTTTTCAAAATCTTGAGAATATTTCTTCAACTCTTGTTTCCATACAAATCAAAACACTAGCTGTTATTACTATTAAGTCTGTGTAGGGGTGCTTTATTAACATGCGCAGGGGAATTGACACGAGAGAATCAACAGTACGAAAGCTGTACGAATAGCATTCTGAAGCTTTTACGTCCTATAGCGTATATGCAATGCATTGTAAGATTTGTTTGGGACAAAACATGGCGGATTGGAAATCAAGTAGGTTGCGTAAAAGCTTCAGAAGTCTATTTTCCAGGATTGGGTAGTTCAAAGCCCGATAAGTGTTAATAGTTTTTTAAAACTTAATTTAGGATTGTTGAATAGTTCTGCTTTGTATGCTACAAATTCTCTAGTTTAGTACCTATAATTTTTTTTTCGCTGTGGTGTTTGTATTTGTCCGTAGTAAACTGATTTCTAAAAATTTTAATTTTGTGTTGCAGTTTTTGACAGACATTTTTGATGCCTTATTCGGTATTCTAACTGAGAGCAGGAGATACGATAAGCTTGTGTTTGATGCACTGGTAAGCCTTCCTTCTATCATTCTCTTTTTATCGTCGTCCAATTTTTTCCATTCATTTTATTTTTGMTGCCCATTTCAAGTTTCTTTTGATATTCTCATTTTTCTTTCAATCTCACTCCCCTTGAGTTTATCATCGGCTGCTTTTCATTTTCATTTCAATGATTCAACTTCAAATCTTTTTTGTGCTTCAGGTATTTACCATAAATCTCCTGGCAGACAAAAAGTACCATCACTTCAGACCTGTGCTGGACGCGTACATTGAAACGCGGTTTGGTGCTGTCCAGGCTCACAGGTAGGTATTGTTATAACGGGGACCGCGGAAGTGGGAGMGAGTCTCTTGACCTTAGCCCCCTCATTTTTTTACAGCACTCTGCAGTCTTTGTATTAAACAGTTTATTGTTTCTTATGATATTAAACTACAATCCTAGACATTTTACGCGGGACATTGCGACATGTAACCGTTTTAATTTGACAACACGACAACCACTCGGTACAATACCCTGCCCCTCGGCCCCCTGTACAATGTTGGGTTGCTATTTTCATTTGATTTTTCATGCTTCAGTACCATGACAAAGTGTACAACGACAACATGGGGGAGTGGAAGGGGGGAAGGGGGATTGGAAGGGGGAGGGGAGGGGAGGGGAGGGGGAAGTGGTGGTGAGGGACTGTAAGGTCCTGTTGTCAGTAGAAAACTAAGAATGTGTGTTAAATACAGTAACAGTTTATCGTGTCCAAATGTATATTGTCCATGATTGTAGCTTTAATAAATAGGTGAAGTTTGTAGGTCTCTATATAGCTTTCATAAGAATGTTTATAAACATTCCAGACCTATGTCAGGCACTCACGGTTTAATTCAAACAACTTACTTGAGTTTTTCTTACGCAGAACACTCATTGCTACGCTTAAGGAGTACATAGAATACGCCAGGCGCAAAGAAGTAGACCGCGTYAAAACCGACACTGTACTAAGAGCTATGAAGGTAGGTYAACTTTYAAAACACTAAGAAATGGATCCTTTTTWAAATTTCTAACCTAATTTYTTTCATAATTCTGTGGAACCCTCGATATTCCAGCCAGCTAAGTGKTCGTATTAACGAGGTGGCCGTATTGAACAGACAAAAAAGYATCTATAATTCTGGCCGTTATAACGTGGTGTCCGTATTAAGCGGGTGTCCGTAAGGCGGGGTTTTACTTCATAYGTAAAACACATTTATCTTTCATTTCACTGTAGGCRCTRGAGTACATATTCAAGTTCATTGTCAAATCCAGACTTCTGCACGAGAGTCTGAAGAGGGGAAAAGTCAACGACGAGTTTCAAAATGAAATGAGGAGTTTGTTTTCTCAGTTGGTAGCGCTTATGGAAGACGAAAAGAATGAAACTCTCCTCATTCAGGTTTGTTTGTTTGTTTTTCTTAAAGAATCAGAACCAACCGTCGTACCTTGCGAGCCAAAGCGCCATTTTAGATGGACACGAAAATAGCGGATTCGTAGGATTTCTTAAAGTGAACGCGAATCGTCTCCCATCCTTTCAGTTTGGACAGAAATATCTTTAATTAAGTACCTCACAGGTACTATCAATCTATAATCTATTGTATGCTTGACGCATTTAAACGTATGTAAACGATAACACGAGTGCGCGCTGTATTGTGGTTGGTTGGGATTCTTTAAACCCTAGCTGTTTTCTTTGAAATTCGCTTAGCCAACCATCATCCCTTGCGCGTTTCTGTTTTTGTTTCATAAATTCATTTTTTAAATAATATTCAGTAAAAAGCTCTACAAGTTGCAATTGCTATATTATACTTTATTTGAAGGGTGCTGCATTGAAATATTTCCCTGCTTCATTTGCTGACTTGATGAAAGTTTGTGATCCCAAAGAACTTGGGTAAGGTCTCTTGATATATGAGAATCAATCTCGAGCCCAGAGTCTTCGCGGCTAATGTCAGCGGTTTGTTGACTTCCGCTGGATGGCAAAAGTGCGGGCTCTGGGTACGAGATTGAAGTCCGACGTGTGTCTGAGTAATGTTGCGCGATTTTCCCGCTTACTTACATCTCTCTTCTTGTACTGGTACATTATCTAGCTTGTGTATATATCGATCGAGTTATCAGAATTGCGCCCCTTATTTACAATAATTTTTTTGTGACTTAGATTTATTGCACGTGATTTCATTGAGAAGATTCCCGAAAGGAGACTAATATCTCAAAAAATGGACTGTATTCATAACATGATAAAGAGCCCGTTGTTTGAGCACGAAGGTAAGAATGAGAGTGCCTTTTCCTCAGTCTTCTCTTCTACTTGGCAAGGCACCTCGACTATGAAGTCCAGTGATGCTTGTCTCATGGATTATTTATGAGTTTTCCTCCATGTTACGTAGAGTCTCGATGTGTAATCCTACCAATGGTAGTCAAGCAGCTTAAAAAAGAGATGGAGAGAAGCGAAGAAATGAAGATATGTATCGACATCTTGAGCAACATCTTGATAACTCTCATGAGAACAGACGTGGTAAGTCTCTGATGACGTCATGTTCGTGTTGGCGAAGTGTATCATGGTATATATGGCTCAGTACTTTCGGAGAACAATGCGTCCGCCATCTTGAAAAGTGGAACTCGAATCACTAAACTATAACTCCTAAAGGAATTAAAAGCTTATCAGATAATGTCAAGTTAATATAATACGATATAATGATAGATTAGTTGACTTAGAAACTACCAAATGTGTTCTAAGGCACAACATAGCTTTTCGGGTCTCACTTTTCAAGATGAAGGACACATTGTTCTCCGAAACTACTGATGTATATAAAAATATCAAGGTGGCAGTTGTCTTATAAAGCTACGGAGGGTAAAGCTTTGAAAAATTAGCGTAAACAGTTATTGAGAATGCTTTGAAAGAACATTAAATAAGGTTCTTGCACTGGAGTGTAGAAAAGACCAGTTTGGCAAATAAGTAAAGTTTGTTGTTCGCAAAGCGGCCCTAAAGGCAATCCAAGCATAACAACATGATGCATTTACGTCGAATACATGTCATGTCTGAATCACTAATCAGGGTCTTTGATTTGAGAAGATGTTGGTGCCTTTCATGTTTCTCCGCCTGAAATGATTAGATCATAGCGAGGAATGGTATAAGAACAACTGAAGGCAAATCAAAGCCCTGCCTTGACCACTCTCAGTGACTGCCTCACTGAACTCATGACTCATTGATTGGCGTTCTGTTTAGCCAACCTCTACTCCTTGTGCAAAACCACATTAGATTTATAAGTAAAATCAGTATTTTAATGATTAAAAATAATTGTCAAATAATTATCAGGGAATGACACACGAAGACATCTTGTTTCTTGCCACGTCGTTGCTACAAGTCGTTGTGAAGGCGGTCGTTAGGATGGACAGACAACAGCAAATCACGGTTAGTTGAAATACCACCGTTTTGCCTAGTATTTAGAGCTGGGCGCTTTTCGCATGTCGTTTTTAATTCGGTTTGTAATTCCGTAGAACACAATTCTCCAATCGAAATATGCATTGTAAAAGAATTGTAAAATTCATGAAATGCACCAGTTGGCAACATAAAAAAATTTAGCTGTTCCGAGCAAAAAGAGCGGGAAATTCAAATGGTGCGCGCTCGTCATCCAGAAGAACTAAAAAAAAAGCGGGAAAAGTAGAATTTCTACAGTGGCAGTCCTTTTTAGCGTAAAATCCGGTCGGAATTCCGCGAACCGTCGGGAATGTACGAAAATTCGCGTTGCCAGGGCAGTAAATGTGATTCTATTTTCTTTTCTTCAGCGACAGTACGTGGCTTGTCTCACCGCTATGTTTCAGCTCATGAACGCTGATCACTTTCAGAAGTACATGAGTAATTTTAGCTCGTTGGAGCTGTTGCGGGTGAGTTTCTGACATAGTTATTTGTTTTGTTAGCTTTGCTTTTGTTTATCTACATTTTTACTCGTTTTTAGGACTTCCTCATTGAGTTGTTTCTACTTTTCCGTGATTTTGTGAGCTGCAATGTGTATCCTAAAGACTGGGTCGTCATGCTGATGCAGCAAAACAGGTTTGGACCGGTTTATGTATACTTGACCAATCAAAACTCAGAATTTTACTTTGGCGAAAACCGGATTTCATC